TTAAACAGAGGAAGAGATGTCGATAGGGAAATACTAGGCAGTAGCATCTAGGGAGCTGGGAGGAAAACTTGGAGAGCATCATCACAGAAGAATATTTTCAAGAGTTCAAGAACGTGAGGTAGGCCAAATGCCACAGAGGTTGTATGGGGGGAAAATTTTATAGATTAAAATATAATCTTTATATTTAGTCATACAAAGATTATTGAAAGTTTTAATTGGATTTTTAAAAGAATGGAAATAAAATAAACTCAGTAAATGAGATTACTGTAAGGGGATTAACATAATTTTGTCTTTGATAATGTAAGACTGCTCATGTGCCACATAACCACGTTTGAGTCAACAACAGACCACAAATACAACCATGGTCCCATAAGACTATAATAGGACTGAAAAATTTCTATCACCTAGTGACATCACAGCCATTGTAACACATGCACTATTCACATATTTGTGGTGATGCTGGTGTAAACAAACCTACTGCTCTGCCAGTCACAAAAGTAGAGCACATATAATTATACAGTACATAATACTTGATAATAAGACTATGTTACTGGTGTATATATTTACTATACTATACTTTTATCGTTATTGTAGAGTGTACTTTTTCAACGTATTTTTTAGAAGTCTGCCCTGGTTGGTTTGGCTCAGTGGTTAGAGCATCAGCTGGTGGACCAGAGGGTTGCAGGTTCAAGTCCCGTCAAGGGCACGTACCTGGGATGCAGGTTCCATCCCCAGCCCCAGTCAGGGTCATGTGGGAGGCAACCAATGTGTCTCTCTCTCACTGACGTTTCTTGTCTCTCTGTCTCTGTCTCTGTCTCTCTCTCTCTCTCTCTCTCTCCTCCTTCTCTTCCACTCTACCTAAAAATCAATGGAAAAATATCCTCAGGTAAGGACTAACAACAACAAAAAAAAACATTTTGCTGTAAAACAGCAAGCTATGTTACACCAGCAGCCTCATATATCGTGTTTACCAAGTCTCTTCATTCCATCATTTTCTCCTGTGCTTGATTTAATCTAAGTTGTTTTGTACAGTAACCTGCTGTTCAGGCTCAAAGCCTAGGACCAACAAGCTATAGTATATAGCATAGGTGTGTAGTAGACTGCACCGTTTGTGTAAGCGCAAGGTATGATGTCCACACACCTACAAATTGCCGAACCACGCATTTCTCATAACTTTTCCCAGAACCTATCTTCATCGTCAAGCGGTGAATAACTGCTGGAGGGGTCTGGGAAGAAATCCCGTAAAAAAGATAAAAGAAAGAGGATAAGTGATAGTGCAAGGTCATCCAAGGGTGACATGGGATTCAAAGCTTAAAGGACGGGAAAGAGGGAGCAGGATGGGAGAGAGAAGTGATCAGAAAGGGATCCCTTTCGGGGGAGGAAGAGATGGTTGCAAATGCACGTAAGCCTTCTGACCCCCAGCCTAGACTCAGAAACTAGACCAAGTCTAAGCTCCTTTTGGGCAGTGCCCATGTTTGATCACACAGGCCTCTCTCACTGAAAAAACAAAACTAGTACAATGCTTTGCTGGGGACTCAAACATGTGAATAAAAGTGCTGCAAGCCACTGGGATGTTGTAGGGAGTCAAAACCGGTTGCATTTCACCCACCACCTCTGCTACTCCTGCAGGCCCAACTGCTCCCACGGAACCTGCGATGGGATGAGCGAGGTCCAGTCAGGCCACCAGAAACTTCCAGCGCTTGGTGGCGGGGGAGGGGGGAGTGTCACTCACACCCAGTGTCCTGGGCACCGCACACCCACGCCGAAGGGGGGCGGGCCCCGCCGCGGACTGCGGAGGCTGGATCTGCGGGCCTGACCGCAACTCGCCCAAGCCCCGGGCGGCCAGGCTGGAGGGTCCGGCGGCAACGCAGAACGTCCAGGCTCGGGCAGCGCGGGCCGAGCCCCCACAGGAGCGCGGCCCCCCCGCCACGCCGTTCCCCACGACAGCACCAAGCCAACCCAGCGCCCACGGCCGCTCCCCCTTCACCCGCCCGGCGACCCCCAAAGCCTCCTCGGCGATAACGGCAAGGCCGGCTCACCTCACCAGGCCGTTACGGCCGCACCTCCTCCGCGTCCAGCCGCAGCCGCTCGCACCGGACCCCGCCTTCCCGGGCTGTCCCACAAGTCCCCGCGCGCCCTCGCCCCGCCCCCGGAGCGTGCGCAGAAGGTCAGCTGCAAAGCGCTTTCTCCCGGTAGAAACAAACTAGAGGATTGGCAGGTGTGCTCGAGTGAGGTCGGACGCTTTCAGGGCTCCCAATGTGAATCAGCGTCAGAGGAGGTAATCCGAAACCTGCAGGGTCATCCGCACTTGTTCCCCAAATAGTAACTCCTTGACTTTCTCTGGACTGCCCTCAAATAATGTAATCTCTAATATTTGCTTTGCTGGTGTCACGATCTTTGTAAGGATGCTATGAGAGAGTTACTGTTTCTCTACCGTGAGCAGACTATAGAATTTAACTAGGGCGATTTTGCAGCCCCGCCCCCCCCTTTAAGTGCTTATATTTAGTAAACTGGTTTGGGTGCAGTCTAAGTCTCCTGCACCTTTGCAAGTAAACTCTTTCCTTTTCTGTGTCTAAGGCCTGTCTTTCATTGTGCTCTGGCTTACAAAGCAGAAAGAATATGCAGCGTATAACATTTCTTGTTCTGCCTCCTATATGAGTGAGCTTTCTTTTATTTTCATGACAACTCGTGAATGTTAAAATTTACAAATTTTAACAAAATTGTAAAACAAAAATAAATTTTAAATTCCACGAAAAGAAACAGAAACGAGCAAAGCTTTCCGTTTGAAACAGCTCTGTGATCTCAAACATTAACCCAAAAGACCAGTGGCTCTCAAGCTTGCCTGGACTTTGAAATTACCTAGGGAGTATGAAAAAATTTTTAATTTCTAGGTTCCATACCCAGAGATTCTGATTTAATTAGTGCAGCCTGGGCATCATGATTTTGTAAAGCACAGGATACAGGTAGGCAGTTGAGACGGGGAACCACTAATCCAGGTAATGGTGCATGAAAAACCACCCTGGAGCCCTCCCTTAAAAGGTCATATAATTAGCACATCTTTCCCACTATGTAATTATTTTGTATCTTTGTATTTGTATTTTTTTAAATGTACAGAGAGAGAGAGAGAGAGAGAGAGAGAGATGGGAGAGAGAGAAATAGAAACATCTATGTGAGATACATCCATTAGCGGCCTCCTGCACGCCCCCTAATGGGAATAGAGTCTGCTACCTGGGCATGTGCCCTAAATCCAAGTGGGACCTCTCAGTCCATGGGGCGACACTCAATCCACTCACTATGACTTTAAAACATCTTTGTATTTTAAAGTCATAGTAGTCAAATCATTAAGTGTTATTAAAATATTTACTAATGAAATGATTCTTTGGTTTTGTGTTAAAGGGGATAGATAACTAACTTTAAGCCCTGGCCGGTTTGGCTTAGTGGTTAGAGAGTCAGCCCAAGGATTAGAGAGGCCCAGGTTTGGTTCCTGCTAAGGGCATGTACCTCAGTTGCAGTTTGTCCCCAGCCCCAGTTGGGGCATGTGGGTGGCAGCCAGTCAATGTGTCTCTCTCATATCGATGGATGTGTCTCTCTGTCTTTCTTCCTCCCTCTCTCCCTCCTGCTGTATCTAAAGATAAAAGCAAAAATATCCTCGGGTGAGGATTAAAAAAATGAATAAAACTGACTTTAAGAATTTTTTGTTTTAAAATTAATCTAATAAAAAATTTTAAAGCAGATGTTGATTTATAGATGTTCTTAACAAAAGCAACTGTATTTTTTAATTAATGTGGCAGAGTCAATAGAGATGGGAAAGGAGAGAGCCAGCTGGCTGCTCTAGTAAAAGCTCATAGGCCCTTGGGTGAATTATTTTTCTCTTTCAACTCACAATACTCAGACAGTTGCTTAATGAGTACAGAATCAAAGTGAGAGGAGTTAGTCAAATGGTCTTGACGGCCATCATCACCTAATTCTGAGGCTCCCATTGTCCTACAAAACACTTATGCCTGTAGTGGCAGCCTTCTCTCTCCAAGGGAGTTTGAGAGTTTTTAACTCTTGGCAGTCATGTGCTCGTGTAAAAACTAAAAATTCAATAAATAAAGAATTAAAGGTGGAGAGCAAATATTGAAGGGCAACCAGTAACCTCTATCCCAGGCCTTAATAATTATCCTTTGAACGAAGAATGAATGAATGAATCAATAGTACTAGAAATCCAGGTTCACTATAACCTGAGGGAAACGGTTGAATTTTGTAGTCCTGATTCTGCTACTTTTTGAGAATGTAATCTGTAAAATGAGGTATAATTACAATGGTAAAGATAAATATACCTACTGGAGTGAGAAAAATGTATGTAAAAGGCCTATCTGACACAGCTTGGGACATGGTAAGAGCTTTAATAAATGTTATTTCCTGCCCCTCTTTCTGATAATACTGCCTCAGGTTAGGCTCTGGCTAATTAGTTTCCCCTGACAGCAGGCTTTGTTAAGAAGGACAGAGTGCTCTGGAGTATTTCAGAATGGTTTCTTTTCTCCTGCCTGTGTCGGAAACCCCAGCACTGGTTTCTGCTCCAGAATCTCTTCTCCAGTAAGCTCTGTGTTCACCTGTCTTTCCAGACTTGAGGGCAGTGCTTTGTCTGTGTCCTCCCTTCTCTTACACATCCAAGAAGAGTTGTTGGTCTTTCGGTCTGTTCAGATTTTTACTTGTTAGGTTGGAGTGGTGACTTCCAAGCTCCTATATGAGGAAGCAGAAGCTGAAGTACACGCCTTCTGTTCTTCACATTACAAGTCCACCAGGAAGAATTCTCTCCCCATCTTGGCTAGAGCGACTTGGTGAGTCCTCAGGGACTTTACCAAGTTACCATATTCTCCAAGCCATCTTGAAGAAACACTAAAACCAGAAGCATCCCTCCCAACCCCTGCTCCTGGGAAAAGGCAGGGAGACAGAGACTTGAGGAAGGTCAGTTACAGAGAAGAGACACATTTCAAATTTTCTTAAATGACTTTAATTGAAGACTCAAACCCTGTAAACTGTGGTTCAAGCCTGGCTCTGTGGAACAGTGTCTGGCTCTCAGTGAGTTTAGGGGAGAAATGCAAAACTGAGTTTGAAACACAGTCTCCCTCATCTTCCCTTCTAGAGTTTATGCACATTATGGCTGCTGGTTAAGCCTTAAAATAATTGTTCATGACACCAAGCTATAGGCTCCTTTCTTTTTCTGATGCAAAATCCTCCTATGGGGGAACTCTTTCACAAATTATTTGGGATCAAAATACAGCTCTGTAACTGCACTAAATAGCTATAAGCAGGAACATTCTTTCTGCAGTTACTGAGCTGGCTGTAACAGGCCTGGAGAAGTGCATTCCCCCAGCCTACTCACTGTGTCAACCCATTACCCTCTCCATCTAGCGTTGGAATTCTCCCAGAGGCTGTTCTGAGAGGATATAACCCTAGAAAAGACCAAATACCCATGCTTGATTTCCATGGCCTGATTTCTTCGAGGCCCCGACAGAGGGCTGAATTGCAATGTGCAGAGCTGTGTGCAATAACAGCCATTACAGTAATCTTTAATTTCTATCAGCTGTTCTTCCTAAGAACAATTGATAACACTTTCACAGTAATAATTCATCAGGTTTACCCTCTCATCAACCCCAAAATGAGGAAAGGTGCCAAGCCCCTCCCCCTTTACATTGAAAGGAAACTTGAGGCCTGGAGATGTCGAGGACTTGTTCACAGTTGCAGCTCCCGTTAGGGCAAAGAGCTGTGGAGGGCCCCACCTTCTGTGTCTGAATAATGTTTCCAAAATTCTGGAGGACAAAGATTTGACTGTTTCCCTGCATTTTTCTACTTTGTGTCTTTTCTCTCTTTCCTATATGGACAAGTCTAGATTTGGGAATCCTCCCCCATTTTCTTCAGCCCAGAGCAGATAGCATCTCAGTCTTGCAAAAGCTCTCACTGCCCTTATGCCCCTTTCTGGCTCCAAGCTCTACCGGGTAGAAGACACCACGTAGGCTGTGGCTATGTACTTCTTGCCATTTCCATAGGTGGATTTGTCCCAGCTGTAGGTTTGGATGGCCAAGGGATGTCCACCCAGGCTTAACTGGCACCTGTGGAGAAAGATCATCAAATCATGGTTCCCTGCTTCAGTCTGCCTCTGTCCCCAGACAGGAAGGAAGAAGCCCAATCCATGCAGAAGGACTCCACTGTGTCTTAAAAGGCCCTAGGAGCTGCCACAGCTTACGTCAGCCACGGCCTCAGCTCCCCACGTGCATGGAGCCCTTTCAAAATCTATGCCTTATTTTCTGACTTCTTAAAGAACACTGCTTTTCCTCTTTCCCAGAGCAGAATTCTAAAATCTCAGATTAATTAAATGTCCGCTTAGGGTTTCAGAAGTAGCAGGACTCAGAGTCCTCAATGTTAGAGCACATAAGGCCCAGTGGTTTCAACGGGACTCTCTGGGGCTCTAGGGTTCCCCCAATCAGCCTCAGAGTGGGTGGGGGGTGCAATTAGAGAGGCTTGGAGCACCAGGGCAACTCCATGTCTCACTGTTTCATACGGTAAGGTCCCGTGTTAGATTACACTTGGGGCAAAGATGGGCAGCGGTTCTGCTGCTAAGATGAAGTTGGCAGCAACCAATCTGACAGCTTTGTTTCCCAAGTGAGAAAACAGGCCCAGAGCTGTGATTTGTTCATGCCCTCTGAGCCACCATGGGGCACAATCAGGTTTCCTGAGGTCCTGGCTGAGGAGAGCCTGCGGCCCCCGCCCGCCCCCCAGGCCTGGCTGGCCCAGTACTTACGTTTTGCCTGGCCTGGCAATGAAGCACAGGGAGTAGAGCGCAAACTCAAACTCGGGGCTGCTGCCGATGAAAGCTGAGCCCACTTCCTTATAGTAGCCGTCCCAGTTGAACTGCATGGCTAACACGTCGGGGTAAGACTCCCACTGTGGACAGAGAGCAGGTGTGCTGAGTGCCATAGAGTGGAAGCTGACCGAGGGGTGGCAAATGGCAGCAGGCAGCCAGGATTTGTTAAGGGTCCATTAGGTGTCTGTGTGAGCTTTCCGGGGAGGCTGGATTCTTTAAATCAACAGAGTAAACAGTCTCTCCTGCTACAGTGTGTAAGCCCCACTCAGACCTGTGTCCGGAGCTGCAGGGAAGACAGTCAGCATCCATGTGACCAATGCCTGGGAGCAGGAACTATCTGCTCCCTATGGTCTTCACATGTGGAAGAAAAGGACTGTTTATTGCTCTCAAATTATTTTCTGGCACCAGGCAGCAAAGATTTCACTTTTATAAGATATAAGGAGTTTAACTCAGACTAGCCAGACTGAAACTTCCAGCTGATGCCACATTCTAAGAAAATTCAGGTAGGAAGTAATTGCATGTCTGGTTCTGCCCTCTGAGAATCTTCCCTGCCCCCAGCCCTATCCAGAGATGGTGCCCTCTGCTTCCTGCCCCTGCTGTTGAAGCCTTCACTGTTTGGGACGGGAGCTCAGTGTGCTGGCTGGCTAAATCTGCTGCCCAGCAGATGGGGAAGTCATAGTCACAATCCCCATTAGCTGCTGATGAGGGTCAGGGTAAGAGACAAGTCTGACTGTTCAGAATGCAGAATGAAGGCAGGAAGTCTGGGTACTGACAAGGCTTTCCAGCCAGGGGGTCAGCACTCGGTACTCACAGGACCGTCATAGATGTAACTGTAATAGTCAACCAGGCCCTCCTTCTCTTGCATGTAGAAGCGGATCCAGTTATGGAAGCCAGTGACCTTGCCTTTTTTCACTTCACCTATAATAAATGGTCCAAAGTAGGTGATCTGGGCCTCCCCTTTAACCCCTTCTCCCCCCCATGCCAAGGTTGTCTCCCTCTCCAAGTTTCTGACTCCTAGATTGTCTACCTGCTCAGCCCCTTGCCTGGACTTCTCAGAGTCCCTTGCACCCCTAACTTTCACTTCAGGAAGGCCCCTTTCCGCTCAAGCCCTTGGGAAAATCCCTCCTCCTGGCTGACTCTAGTGACCAATCTGAGATACTTCTCTCAGCCCTTTCTCCAAGAGCAAGCAGACTTGCTGGGAGCTTTGTGGCTTAGTGCAGTGGGGAGAAAGACCAAGACCCTCTTGGGAAGCAGCTGACCAAGACCTGGAAGCAGAGGACCATTCAGAGGTATATGGCCCCAAACACATCTCCCTTCCTACGTGGAGCCCTGGCATCTGGTCCTCTTTCTCCCTTAGATACTCCAGAGAAACAGTTTCTCAACAGTGGCTCCTCAGACCCCACCCTCCTGGACTGGTAGTAGACATGTCCCTCCCTGCTAGCTGGCATGGCTGCTCATTCATCAGTGCCCAATGCTGCCCTACTCCTGAGGGAAGCTGTTTCTCCATCTTTCTTTCTAAGCAGAGTGATCCCACCTGAGAAGACGTGTTCAAAGCCACTTGAGTCCCCCTCATCATTGCTTCTTGAATAGAGCCCAAACCACATGTTCTTCAAGTCATTGATGAACTCTTGTTCTGAGCTGTAGCGGTCTGTGGGGGAGCAACATAGAAGATTTAAGACAGGGGAAGGCAGGACCAGATCCTGGGAAGGAAGGAAGGACCACCTACTCCATCATGTCAAGAGACACATGGGTTCAACCAACAAATGTACTCAACCGTGACCTATGGGGCACCTGCTTTGTGCCAGGCCCAGATCCAAAGGTGAAGGATTCAGCAGGGAATCCCAAGGACTAGATCCCTGTCTTTACAGTTTGCATTCCAGTAGAGGAGACAAATAATAAACAAATAAGAATAAGTAAACTGTATGATTTCAGATAAGTGCTATGAAGAAAACAAAGATTACCATGATGACTGAAGGTGGGGATGGAGGTAGGGGCTCTTCTAGAAAGGAAGGTCAGCAAGGCTTGTCTGAAAAGGCAGCGCTAATCAGAGATCAGAAGGATAAGGAGCCAGCCTTGCGAAGTTCTGGGCCAAAGATTCTTCCAGGAAGAGAGCAGCAGGTGTAAAGGCTCCAGTGGAGTTTGATGTTGAAAGAGCTGAAAGAAAGTCAATGTGGCTGCAGCAGCATGAGCAGGCAGTGGCCAGACCATGTAAGCCATGGCAAGAGGGTCAGATTCTCAGTCAAACGGTAATGATAACAAAAAATATTTTAGATTTACTGAGTATGTTCTGTGTGCCTGGCACTGTTTGAAGTGCTTTCAATCCTCACTTTGAATCTTCACATCAAATTGGCACTCATTGTCTCCAATTTAGAGGTGAGGAAACTGAGACAAACAAAGGTTATGTAACCCATGCAAGATCACACAATTAATAAGAGAGAGAGAGAGAGCATTTGAGCCCCCACAATCTAGCTCCAGAGGCCAATCTCTTAATGACGCCATAGCTTCCTGGTGGTGGGAAAGCCACTAAGAGTTTTAAGCAGATATTGTGCTGAGAGCTTTGTTTTTTAAAAAATCCCTCCTGTTGTGTGTGTAAAAAGGCCCGAGGGGCCTAAGAGCAGCAGAGACCAGGTTTGAGGCTAACACTTTGTCCAGGTTACGTGGTAGTGGCTTAGACTTTGGTGACAGCCATGGAGGTGAGAAGCGGGAAGGTCAGGGATAGATTTTGAAGGCGGAAGTGATAGACATTACTGGTGGAAGAAATGGGAATGGAGAGCACTGAGGTAAAGAGAAAAATCAAATGTAATTCCTGGGCTTCTCATCTGAGCAACTGAATGAATTACGGTGTCATTTATGAGATGGGGAAATAGGATGAGACAGGAACCATGAGTTCTCTTTACCTAAGTTCCAAAGAGATGCCATTAGATAGGCAGGTGAGGATGTCAAAAAGGCAGTTGGGACCCCCCCCCCAAAAAAAAGGTCAGAGCTTGGGATTTAAATAAAAAAGCCATCGCTCTGGCTGGTTTAGCTCAGTAGTTAGAGCATCGACCCTCTGACCAAAGAGTCTCGAGTTTGATTCCAGTCGAGGGCACATACCTCAGTTGCGGTTCGGTCCCAAGCCTTGGTTGGAATCATGTGGGAGGCAACCAATTGATATGTCTCTCTTACACTATGTTCCTCTCTCTCTCTCTCTCTCTCTCTCTCTCTCTCGCTCTCCTTTCCTCCCACTCTATCTGAAAATAAATGGAAAAACATCCTCAGGTGAGGACTTAAAAAATTTTTAAATTAATTAATTAATTAAGAAGCCATCAAATATTGACTGTTTACTGTCCAGAATTGGGTGTGGAGGATACAAAAGTGATACCAGACCTATTACCTTCTTTCAAGGACTTAAAACACAATGGAAAACAAGTCTAAATATACCCAGAATAACAGAGAATGGTTTTGCAATCTGAATGTCAGGCTTTGCACTGGGCACTTTACAAACCTAAATCCCCCAAGACCCCATTTCACAGGTTAGGCTCAGACAGGTAGGATAACTTACCCGAGGCCGGACCACTAGTAAGTGGCAGAGTTGAATTCTTATCCAGTCTCCCTGGACCAAGGCTATTTTGGGCCACACCCCAACCCCTTGACCTCTGAAGAGATGATGAAGGCCAGCTGTATAAGCTGCGGCAAGTGCAGCCGTATAACTGCAGTGGGACGGGAGCTAGAACTTTAAGGGCAGGTGGGATTTGGACAGGAAGAGGCATGAAGACCAGATGAGTAATGGGACCGCCTGGCCTCGGTTTCAGAACCCTGGGTTTCAGCCTGGCTCTGCCTACAACTTCCGTTGTGGCCTCAGACAAGTCACCTAGCCTGTCTGGGCCTCCATTTCTCATTTGAAAACTCCACCTCCAAGTTTCTCTCACGTGTTTACTACAAAGAGAACACCAGGGGGCGGTGAAGGATTGTGTCCTCTTCCTAAGGATGGTGTCACTGACTTCACCTAAAAACCAGCCTGTTACTAACTCAACTTGGAAGCCCTTGGATGGAATGTGGTAGCCCTGAGCAGAGGCCCTCCCACAGCTCTGGAGGGAAGACCTGGAGGAGGCACCCAAGGCGAGGCCCAGCCGCCTGGAACTCAGGAAGGGAATCTGGAGGACACGAACAAACACAGTGCATGCCAAGAAGTTCCGCAGCCCCAACCATTTTTGGTCTGATTCAGATGTCTTTGTCTGGAGCCACTCCAACCAGATAATTTCCCGGTAGAACCTTCCCCGCTGAATGTTGTTGATTTTCTGTTTCTGTTTCCCCAACAAAAAAGTGTAGTGGGCTGACCTCCTTCCTGGACTTAGAGCAGGAGGAAGGAGCAGAATCAGGGACTCCCCGAGTCTAGAAAGTGGTGCTGAGCTGGGATGGCTGAGGAGGCTGACAAGTGCCCTGCATGGAGCCGGTGGCTCATGGCCTTGCAGAGAACCGTGAGACTAAAGCAGTGAGTGCGGTGTAAACAAGGCAGCTGAGACTAAATCAAACGATGAGGTGACTTCCAGTCCAACGGAGGATTCTTCAGCCCCCACGTGGGTCCATGATCTCTCTGGGTTCCTCTCTGGCCCTCTCCCAAATGTACACCAGCCTCCATGTAGTCCCCACTGTGGAGGCCCCAGAGATTCCTGCCTTTCCTGCAGACAGACACGAGCCCTCAGCACTGCCTCATGGGTCTGATGAAGGTTCACTCACTCTGGTGATGGAGGAAGCTGTAGAGTTCCTTCATGACAGCCGTCTTCATGACCTCTCTGAGGAAGGTGTCCTGCTCAGCCAGCTGCTGGGCACTGAAGTGCTCCCCGTGGCCTGTCGCCCGCTGGTAGTTGTTGAGGAGGTTGATGAAGGCTGCATAGGTTGGCTTGGAGAACAGCTTCTCATTGACGTATGTGAAGAGGCTGGGGAGGTGGAAGAAGTCTTAGTAAGAGGCCTGAAGGTGGAGCAGAAACCCCTCCAGGAACTGCCAGATGGGCCAGAGCAGGCCTGTGAGGGTTGGGTTCAGGAGCAGAGTGGGGACTTCAGATACTCTTGAAGACCATGCATGAGGTCACTCTTTTCTTAAACTTCAGCTCTTGGCCCTGGCTGGTTTGGCTCAGCGGTTAGAGCGTCGGCCTGCGGTCCAGAGAGACCCAGGTTTGGTTCCTGCTAAGGGCATGTACCTTGGTTGCAGTTTGTCCCTGGCCCTGGTTGGGTCGTGCGGGTGGCAACCACTCGATGTGTCCCTTTCACGTTGATGTTTCTCTCTCTCTCTCTCCCTCCCACTCTATCTGAACAAAAAATAGAAAAAAATTGTCCTCGGGTGAGGATAAAAAAAACAAACTTCAGCTCTTGGAAGGTTAGTTGTGTTCTCAGCCTGGCCAATCCCAGAAACCCTCCCTACTGAATGCCCAGAGTCCCTCAAGATGGCTTTGTTTGCCACTGGAGATCTACTTTTTCTCTCCCTTTGGTACTGCCTGCCTGGAGGAGAAAAGAACTGAGGCATCAGAAGAAGCAAAGTTGAGGGAGACTTTGCAGGAGAACCATGAAGGGAACTCACGGCTCTGGGCAGTGCTCCACTTGGTCTCCGGTCTCTGAGGGCGCGATGGAATTTTGGCTGTTGAGAATGATGTCTTGCTTCTGGGCTTTGTTGGTATCCGCCCTGTAGATCTTCTCAGAGATGGCCTGCAGCTCCTCCTTGGTTATGGCATCACTGCTGCGGGAGAAGCTCTCTGGGAGGAATCGGGGGAGGGGTATCTCAGAGCCGGTAGGAGGCCAGAGGGAGGCAACTGTGTGTGAGCATCTCCTTCTGGGCACCTTCCAGAAGCTGGCAGCAAGGGAGGGGGGCTGCAATCAGGCCACCAGTGGCCAGAGGACAGGGGCCTCAGGCCTGAAGGATTCTTAAAATCAGCACATGGCCTTGCCCACGGAATGTCCAGAGAATGTCCATCCTGCCCCTTTCCCGTAGGAAGGTTCTCAGACGTTGACATGCATCAGAATCACCTGGAGGGATTGTTTAAACAGGTGGGTAGGCCCCACCCTACCCCCCAAAGTTTCTGATTCAGGAGGCCCAGGGTGAAGTATTTCTAATAAATTCCCAGATGATGCTGATGCTGCCGGCCTGGGGACCCCATAAGAGAATTACTGCTCTGGAGAGTCCCTCTGTCCCTGGGGCTGGGCTAAAGGGAGCAGGAGACTGACCGTGGGCACACTGGCTCTGGAAATCCTTGCAGCAGTTCCCGAACTCTGGGCAGCGGGCATTGCAGTGGCACGGGTGGTGCTTGTCGAAGGACTCGTGGCAGCGGCCGCGGCAGGAGTTGGGTGCTGAGTACAGGTCTGAGAGAAAGGGGGAGGGATGTTCCAGGCCGACCACTAGAGGTCGCTCAGTCACGCCTAGTTCCCCACAGAGCGTTGCTCTCCTGACTCTTCCGTCAAAGATCTCCAGGGTAGGAAAACAAACAAGCTTCATCGGTGCACACCCTCACAGTCAGGAAGTCCTTTCTGATGCCCAGCTCTACTCTCTGGCCTGTTGTTTTTATAATCTTCCCACTCTAAAAATAAAATCTCTTCCACTTCCCTCTCCGGCCTCTCCGCAGGCCTCAGGCTCTCTTTCCTGCCGACCCCTCCAGGCTGCGGAGGGCCTCAGGTTTCTTCCTGCCCAGACCCCTCGAGTCCAGCGAGCCCCTCTTACCACCTCCAGGTGCTGGATGTGGGGTCTGTCTGGCTTAGGCCTCGGCCTGTTGCCCCTCCCCTGCCCCATCTCATGTCCCTTCTCCTTTATCCTGAAGGTCCCCTGTGCGGAGGCCGACTCACTGCTTGCCGGGGCCTCCTCCATCTCTTCCTCCAGCTCCAGGAATGGCTCTGGATCGTTGGCATCCTCTTCAGCTGAAGGGCAGAGAAGTAAAGTCACCAACCCTCCCGGAGGGATCCCTCCTCCTTATCAGTGGTTCTCAGTTCCCACAGCCTCAGGGACAAACATGTGCAGTGGAAGAAAATACAAAACAGGGGCCAGGGTATGATAAACACATACCAAGCGAAGAAGGAGGAAAACGGAAAATGGAAGGCAGAAGGGGACCAGTCACTGAAAACTGTTTTTAGAAAAGTGAAAAGAACCTCCTTACCACTCTACCCTTCTGGTACTCTGCGTGGAAAGGAGAGGGGGATCCAGGAGGTGGTCCCTTCTGGATTGAAAACTGATTTGGTTATGACCTTTCTTTAGTGGAAGGTGATAGATGGTTAGGCCTGACATTCTCTAAATGACAAGGCCCTTGCTTAGGGACACACCAGACCTATCCTAACTGCCGGAGGGTAAACTCCTCCCAGGGCCTCCAGGAATAACTGTTTCCTGAGAAACCAGCTTCCCTTCTTTCTTTGCAACACTTGACAATGGCCATAAAGGCCGTGTTTGGGGGTAGGGTGTGTTCAGAAAAGCACATTCCTAGGACTGCTGTACTCCCTCGGCCTGTGAGCTGAGTGACCACAGCCTCTTCTCTGGGCAGCGAGGGTGAGCCGGGGGGAGGGGAGGGGAATGCTCCTGGGGCCCTGGCTCCACTCTCATCCACAGTGGAATAATTTTCCCCCAAAACACAACACTATTACGAAGTGATTCCAAATCTATTTGTGAGTTCGCTGGATGATACTGTTATTAACATTAGAACCACAGGGCAGGTTATTCATTCAGTCAACAAAAATCTTCTGCTGTGTGCCAGGCTGTGTTCTGAGTGCTGATAATTCACAGGGTTCTTAATTCCATTACATTTTATGCTAATAGACTTTATGAGCAGATCCAGCATCTCTCTCTTTTTTTTTTTTTTATCCTCACCTGAGGACATTTTTCCATTTTTTGTTCAGATAGAGTGGGAGGGAGAGAGAGGAAGAGAGAGAGAAAGAGAAAATCGACGTGAAAGGGACACATCAAGTGGCTGCCACCCGCACAACCCAACCAGGGCCAGGGACAAACTGCAACCGAGGTACGTGCCCCTAGTGGGAACCGAACCCAGGTCTCTGGACCGCAAGCCGATGCTCTAACCACTAAGCTGAACTGGCCAGGGCCAGATCTAGCATCTTAATAATCATTTATAACATTCTGAGTTGCAAATCAGGGAGTTAGACATCAAATGGCTCCTACGCTGAGTATTGTCTGCATCTAGAGATGCCAGCCTGGTGGTCTAAGGTGAGCAGGCCTTCCTGTGTCTGCTGAGTGGGGCACAGAGACAGCAGGAAAGGGGTGGGCTCTGATTCTGACAGTGAACTCTGGGCCGGGTTTCTCCTCCCTGCGCCCGATCAGCAGAACTGCTAGTGTCTGTGGTGTTTCTGTGTAAAGAGAATAAAGGTCCTTTCTGGGCGAAAGCATCTCTGTGGGCACAAGGCTGGATCAGCAAACATAAGCTTTGAGAAAATTAGGAGAAGGCACTCCTTTCTTTCGGCAGGCACAGATCTGCCCCAAGGCACATGGCTCAGCAAGAAGGACATGGATCTCGTCTTGGTCCAGTTTGCCTGCCCACCAGACGCCCTGTACAGTACACTCAGTCTGCACAATCACACACAGCGGTCGTGCTGGCCGTGACCTACCACGGCTTCAGGGACCATGTTTTCCAAATTGGGAGTCAGGACACACAGTTTGACAGTGAACTTGGCAAGGCTTTGTGTCACAAAGCAGAAGAGCGTTTATCTGGAAGTCTGAAACATTGGCAGCATGCAAACAAGGTGGTCATTCAAATGATTTTTAAAACGATTCATTTAAAACCGTGCCATCGAAGTAGCAGAAGAACAGCTGGCGTTTGCGGGCAGAGCACGTTCCACTCAATCACGGGACTGGGAACGCTAGGTTGGAGATGTTGCAGCCACTCAGTCTGCTCTCTGCAGGAAGAGTGTGTGAACTGTGACAGTCACCCTGATGCATGCAGACTTCCTGGTGACAAGCAAGCTGGAAAAGTTTGCTGCCATTTTTTATACTTTTGCCATTTAAAATGTCGAGTAACAATTGGAATTGGAATACATAATAAAATAACATTTCTATCATTTTGCTTTTTGGGGGAGTTTCTTAAACTTTCAAGATATTATTAATCCTGATAGTTCAAACAGGTAAACCAGGAAAATGACAACTATTTTATTTTAAGTTGGGGTTTTCCATTGGGTACATCTTAGAATACCTGGGACAGGTGGTGGCCAAATCGGTGACCCCTGCTGTGTCCCTAAGTGTCCTCACCCCAGACCCCCTGAGCAGACATCAGTCCTGAGCCCAGCTCTAGACGGCTGGCCCTCTAAGCCAGCGGCCCCTCGGGCAGGCTTGGCATGGACGTGGCTCGGCCTGCTGTGCCTTCCAGACCCTTCAGCCCACAAGGAGCCCACCAGCACACTGGTACTCATAGTCTTCACAGCAGTCCCAGGGCCAGAGACACAGGTGGTCACACTGGCTGTCGGCATCACGGTTAAATTTCTCATTACAGCGAGATGCACATGACCCCATTTCTCCTTTGGGTGGCATAGATCACAAATTCAGTTCTGTGAGGATCCTATTCTCATCAAGGTACTCCTTGCTGGAGGGTTCACAGACAAGGGCAGGCACCCCACCTGCAGGGACCATCCTTGCTGTCTGCAAAGGAGAAGTACATCTGCAGCCTCCCATGCACGACATAAACCTTCTCCCACTGCCCAGCACCCACCAAATACTGCAGGGCACATAATGCAGACTAGGAGCACAAACTCGCATGCCTTCTGGGGCTAGACCTGTAACATAAACGAGTGAAGAAGCAGGAAGGCAGTAGGAGGAGGTGGGGACTCTGACAAAGGGGGGCGATGTTCCGCCTGAACCTGGCAGCCACTGGCAGCTCAAGCCACCTGCTACCGTGCTGGGATACAGGCTCAGGGTTGCCACCACCTCTAGTTCTTCAAGTGGCCTTCATTTTTATGTGAAATTTTCCAAGTTTTACAAAATTCAGGCAGACCAAAGAAAGAGGTCTATGGGTTGGGCGTGGCCCCAGGCCACTATTCACCTGTCCTGTAGATGAAGGTGACCCCATCTGCCCTCTCTGACCCATCCCCTCCCTCTCATCCTGTCCCTTTTATGTTTTCTGCTGCTTTGGTCTTGCCTCCCCTTCCTCTGCTCTTCTCTGGATCCTGTTCCGCCCATGTCACATCTTCCTGTTTCTGGAATCTTTGGAGAACATTCAGATTAGTTTATCTCGAGATGAGGAATGAGGCTGGTGTGGGTGAGAATGGGCCTTTGGAATAAGATTTGTTATGTAACCACAGACCACATCCCTTACTCCAGCCAAATGGCTTGCAGAAACAGGCTTTTGGTCACAGGGGCAGAAGACAAGAAATTTTAAAAGAAATGGGACAAATCCACTACCACTCCTAAAAAACAAGCCCCACCACAGCAAAGACAGGGGAGGGCAAGCTGGGGTGAAGCTGGCTGTGGGGTCCTTCTTTCCACTCTGGCTTCAAGGGTGATAACAGAGCCTTTCTTTCCATTTGAGGTTCCTGAGGTTTGGATTTAGCAAACTCTGGGGTTAGGGTCAGGCTGTGGGTTACGCGAATGTCAAGATCAGAGTCAGAGTTGCTATCGGTGCCAGAATTTGTGTGAATGAGGAAACTGAAACCTAATTTGGGCCAGGGTTGGGGTTAGTTAGGTTTAGGTTAAGAGCTACAGTTAGGATTTGGGCTTCAGTTAAATTTATTGATAAAGTAACAATTTTGTTTTCATGTTTGGGTAAAGATGGGGATACCATGCAGGTATAACAAATCAATTTAGCTGAGTTTGGGGCAGAGGTGAATATTAAGGACATGGATTTGGATTCTGGGATTAGGGTTTATACCGTGCTGATGAGGGTGACATAGCAGGGAGGTCAGGAACCTGGACTCTGTGCCCTGGCTGGTGTGCTCAGTTGGTTGGGCATCATCCCATGCACCAAAAGGTTGCTGGTTTGATTCCTAGTCAAGGCACACGCCCAGGTTGTGGGTTTGATCCCTGGTGGGAGTATACAGGAGGCAGCAGATCGATGTTCTGCTCTCACATTGATGTTTCTCTTTCTCTCTTCCTCTCCCTTCCTCTCTTTCTAAAAACCAATAAAAATATTAAAAAGAAAAAAATAACCCACACTCTGGTGCCAAACTGCTTGGGGCTGAAATTTTGGTTCTGCTGCTTTGTAGCTATGTGATCTTGGGCAGGTTAGTTGACCCTCTGTGCTTCAGTTTCCTTATCTGTAACAGTGTGATAATAATGGAGCCTATCTCATAGAATATTTGTCAGTTTCCTTATCTGTAACAGTGTGATAATAATGGAGCCTATCTCATAGAATATTTGTAAGAATTAAATGAGTTAATATTTGTAAAGCACTTAGTACAAGGCCTGACAGTAGCAATATTGTATGCCCATCTTCAAGGCGACAAGAATTCAGACTGCCTGGAGCAGTCTTCTGCCCCCACGGACATACTTACCCAGGTGCCTCCCTCCCTGGGTTCAGGTAGGACCCCCTTGGGTGGGAGAGTCAGCACATTCATGTTGCTGACAGCTTCCTAGCCGGCATCACCACTACTGGTCTGTTTTCTTTACATCAAAGAGGTGTCAGGCCAAGGTTAACCCAGGTCCTGAGGCAACATCATCTTGTGTACAGGCCTCCAATGTGGCCAGGAAGAGAATTGTCCCTAAAATAGACCCAGCCCAAGGCCCCTGTTCCTTCAGGCCTAGGGGAACTCCTCTTGAATCTTAAATGATGCTCCCTTAGAACCTGAATGCGAGGACCTTAAGGAGAAATTTTCAGCCCAGGAGGAAGGCTCTGTCAGCTGACTGCCCAGTCAGCCTGGCAGTACACCCAGAATCCAAAGGCAGAGCATTCAGACAAAACAGGGCAATGTTTTTAATGGGCCAGATCAGCAGAGTCCAAGGAAAGAATTCACTTCATTCCAGCAGC